AGAGCTAGGGCTGTTTAGTCTGGAGAAGAGGAGGCTGAGGGGAGACCTTACAACAGGTCTCTACAACTACCTGAAAGGAGGTTGTAGTGAGGCAGGTGTTGGTCTCTTCTCCCAAGTAACTAGCGATAGGACGAGAGGAAATGGCCTCAAGTTGCATCAGGGGAGGTTTAGATTGGATATTAGGAAAAATTTCTTTACAGAAAGAGTGGTCAGACATTGGAACAGGCTGCCCAGGCAAGTGGTGAAGTCACCATGCCTGGAGGCGTTCAAAAAACATGTAGATATGGCACTTTGGTACATGGTTTAGTAAGCGTGGTGGTGTTGGGGTGACGGTTGGACTTGATGATCTTAGAGGTCTTTTCCAACCTTAATGATTCTATGATTCTAAGTCCACACAGACCACGAGCGTTTGAACTCTGGGTTCTTCTGTCCAGAGACTCTGCAGAGGATTAAACTCAGAGTCTCCTCCAAGCTCCATTTATCAACTTTAGAAAACTGGACAAATTATTTTCAGGCTGAATATAGGGCCATTGGCTCAAGAAAAGGTCCAGATGTTTTGTTTTGCTTATAAAAGCATCTCTTCCTTTTCTGTGTGCATCTTTTTGTAAATAAGCAATGCAAAATGAGTAGCCAGTGTGAGCACTCTTCCTAAACTTGGTTACTTTTTCAAGGCTTAAATAATTTCTACAATATAAAAATGAAGACTTTAGAATTCAAAATGCTCAGATGTTTGCTAGATTAAGAAGGAATCTTAACTTGGAAATGGATGAAATAAAGTTTTATTTAAAGAGTTCAAAATGCTTGCATTTTTGAATGTTACTCAAGTAACCACAAAACATATAAAGAATTTGAAACAACTGAACAGTATACAACTCTTTACAGATGCCAACCTAAACGTGTGAGCCAGATGGGTTTTTTCCCTAACCCAGTTCAATTAAGATATTTTATGAAGGACCACCCATGGAAAATAATTAAAAAATAAAATGTGTACTGTAGCTTAGAAAATAATGAATCCTTGGTTTTTGAAATGTAACAAGAGGAAATAGAGGGTGAATTTAATACCTATAGAACACAGTGACATGCCACAGTCTCTTCCTAGTAGATGAATTATATGAACTAGAATACCAGCAAGACATTAAAATGCAGATTGCAGGACATAGAGAGAAGACATCATATAAAAGCTCTGCTTACATCTGAAATTAAAATTAGAAGTTCTTTAATCTTTTCTCACTTTAGCCAAGGAGCTGACATCGATGGGAGGCTCAAACACATTAATTACTTGAGCTTTTATAAGTTAGCTGATTTTTTTTCTTGTCCATGAAATTGGATATCCGCATAAAAAGAACAGTACCTGCATTAGAAATATCATTAACAAAAGTTCCCACTTTTGTGGGCAAGCCAACGTCTTTCCTCATGAAATATGAGTGCTGAATGACACACAGGAACATAGGGCAGAAATTCCCCAAACACTGAATATCAGTCCCTTGTTGTTGTGGCAACCACATGCTGTAATTGCTGTTATAAACTACAATGTTATATGACGGTATTGACTGAGAACAGTTGGATTTCTAGTCTTAGAGGTCTGCTTGTGTAGACAGAGCACTAAATAAATATGTGCTATGAAAAACACGGCCAACTCTTTCAAGAGTGAGAATAATGTAAATTCATTGGGTCTGCTGGATAAATATATATACATATATATATATAAGTATATATATTATATCCTGGGGAATGGCTGTCAACTTCTCCATCTGCATTTTGATCGCAAGAATAAATTAACCAACACATTCTGAATGAATGAGCAATGGAATACTAAACAGATGGAACCTCTGATAGATACTTGGATAATTTATTTCAAAAAGGCATTTGAAGGCCAACCTGTATCATTAACACATAATGTATAGAAATAGTAACTCTAAAAGTTGCATAAGGTGCTTTGACATCTTATTCATTCAGAATCCCGTGTTCCAAACCATGTTACTAACTATATGCTACAGAAAATCAGGATAAGGAACTTAACGTTGCTGTACTAAACAGGCAAGTTATAAACTAGCATAAATCATTACACTGGTATAAAATAAACAAACTGCAACAGTTAGGAAAGGGAACTGAAATAAATGTTTTTCTACAGCCACTGAAGGAAGATGCAAGCTTTGTCAAGGCAATACCATAGCATATAAAAAGGTTTTATTGCTTATGTTTTCCATCCTTTGCTGTGGTTAGCAAATAACAGAGCCTAAGCCTCAGTTATCATAAAGAATCTTCAAAAGCTCAAAAGTGAAACATTGCTGTGCTGCGAAGGCAAGATTGTCATGGTCTGTTTGGATCTCTGAAATTTACAGGGTAACATACTCTGTAAATCATTTGATGAGCTTAATAAGAAAGAGAACACACATACATCAAACGAGGGGTTAGTCCCATTTGTACAGACTAGTCTAAGACATGAGTTCACTAATCCATCCCTTAATTCATGAGGCTTCTAACTCACAAGTTGTCTAATTCGTAACTTCTAACTTATGCGCCTATGAGCAAAATACTTACCTAGCCGATGATGACAGTGGTCATCCTTCCTCCTCCATCACAGTGCAGGTGATAGTTTAGAAGGTGAGGGACAATCAAAAGAGCTTATCACATACGCTTGCCCTGGTCATATCCTGCTGCAACCATCTGCTTTCAGCCAATGACAGACAAATGGAGAAGCATATTGAACTTTGGTCTGAAACAGGGTTCCAAAACATCTCCCACCACACCACAGAGAATATATGTTTGCCCACTATAGGAGAATTATTTCCTCCCAAACTATTTTTCTTCTCTCCTCATCTTCAAGGATGAAGACAGTGAATAAAATACAATAGAAAAAATATTGAAATACAAGAGCAGAAGTGACAAAGGAGAGAGGAAAAACATGAGGCTCTTTGGGAAAAAATAAACAGCTAAACAGGCTTCTGGAGAGCTTTGGCTTTGCTTCAACTTGTAGGAAAATATCAAAGGTAGAAAAGGCAAGCTAGATTTAAGACAGTGTAATAAAGAATCAGCTGTATCAGAAAGCAGGAATTCCTGTTCATTTTTATATGCATTTTCAGATTTCTTAAGTTTAGTCTTTTCCAGGCTTTATCCTTCTATTTAAAAAAAGTACAAATTCCGTCAAGTCTGTCTCTTTATGAATCTGTTTGCTACCAATTACCACAAGTCTCCTGAGGAAAAACAGGGAAAAGGTGTACAAAATTTTACTGCAATTTAGAGCAGTTAGTCCTGGACTCCGAAAATAGGCAATTAGATCCCTGCTCTTTCTGGAGAGGATGATGGCTACAGCTCTGCAGCCTGAGAACTTGGCTAAGGACACTGAGAAGTAGTACCAGAACTCTGGCCAGACTCCAGAGGTTTGAGACATTAGAGAGCGGGTGGATTGATCTTGCATCAATTTGACGAGTAACCAAGAAATGTTGCTTGGCCCAGTTGCTTCATGGCTCAGAGCCCACTTGAAGATGAAAACAGTCTCTACAGTGATAATAAAGAAACAAAATCTGAGAAGAAAGGGTACTTACCACATACGCAGGCAATAAGTGTAAGGTTTTGTTCATCATAAAATCATTGAATAATTCATGCAGAAGGGGCCCTTTGGAGGTCAGCTGGTCATTCCTCACCACTACCATCAAAGCAGCGCCAACTTCAAATTAGATCCAACTTCAGGGTTAGATCACATCGCTCAAGGTCTTCTACAACCAAGGACTGAACCTCTCCAAGGAGAAGGATGCCATAGCCTCACAGTTCCCATATTTGACTAACCCCATAGTGTGATTTTTGTTTTCTTTCTTATATGTGTGCCTCTCATCCTCGTGCATCTCTGAGAAGAGTCTGCCTTGATCTTCTCCATGCCCTCACATTATGTAGCTGAAGATAGCAATTTCCCCTTTGTCTTTTCTTCTCCAGCATAAACTAACTCATTTCTTTAGCCTCCCCTTGTTTGCTCTCCTTCCCATGGTCATCTTCATGGCATTCCACTGGACTCACTCCAATTTGTCAATACTTTTTTTGTATAGAGAAGCCCAAAATGTGAGCTATGCTCCAGTGCTGAACAGAGGGGAATAAACACTTCCTCTAATGTGCTGGCTACATTCTTGCTCATATGGATCAACTTCTGGTTGGTCTTCTTCATGAAGAGACCACACGGCAACTCTTCTTCTGTCTACTGTTCAGCCGGATGCCTAGATTTTTTTTCCCACAAAAATGCTTTCTGTCTGGTCATGTATTCCTGCATGAGGCTATTCCACCCCAAGTGCAGGACTTTGCCTTTGTTGAACTTCATGAAGTCTTTATTCACCCTGTTCTTCAGCCTGACAAGATCCCTCTGCCTGACATCCCTACCCTCCAGTTGACCACCACTCCCTATCCCAGTTTGATACGTTAACAGTGAACAAAGATTACGGATTTTGCTGTATTCTGGAAGGATTCCCTTTTTTTCATTCTGTGATATTTTGGTCTGTTTCTTTTTCTGAATGGAGGTGCACGTTAAAGGCAAAAATTATGCCAGTCAACTGTCATATTTTTTTCTATTATTTACAGATGTGCAACAGCTTCCTATAGAATTTGTCTTCTGGCTAAACATGAAATCAAATGTCAGTCTACGCCACAAGATGATCCATTCTGGATGTCCCTGCTGCCATGATTCACTGCAGCTTTTTAAGAGAAGTAATCTCTTTGAAGGAGTGAGGCAATGTTTTGCCTTCTGCAATAAAAGCATATTCTCCACAAAGAATATTCAAACAATAGAGTTATAATTTTATCGACATTTCACATACAATTTTTGGAAAGGAGAGTGGAAAAAGACTGAAATAAGATTCTCAACATATTTTAAGAGCAAGAAATACTGAATTAGTCAAGGAATGAGCTCACAATCAGCAATAGTTTAACAAACAAGGTAAAAAAATATGTGACCAGGACCCTGAGTCCATAAACCAGACCCTGCTACGGGGATGTTTTGCAGGATGTAGTGCTGTGCACTATGCCCAAGGACCCCAAGCCCCAGTTACTTCTGGATCACAGTGGGGATCCTCATCAGGGTAGAACACAGGCACTGAACGTTTATGATAATACTGAAGCCGTGAGAGCAGTTTTTTCACCACATGAGGATATTTTTCAGATAAATCATTTTTCTCTTCAGGATCACGAACAATATCAAATAGCCAGACTCTCTTTGTTGGTGGGTCAGATGATTGAATCTTTGTCTCATTGAACAAAGATGGTGGAGGGAACCAATGACTGCAGCCTACAGAAACAGAAACAGACCAAGGATTAATTCTCAGATACGGACCAGCAGTGTGGAGATGCAGAGTTACACTGTAATCAAGAAATTCACTAGGTCCCATGATCAGCCATTGGCTACTGACTGTTGCTGCATTCCTTAACGCTAGCCAAGCACCAAAGTCTCTCTAGTCCAGGTCTATTTATACAAGAGTCCTATTTACATAAAAAAAAGCTGTACCATTGGGATTCAAACTTCCACATGACCTAATTTCAAATCAAGTAATTTAATGAATTTTCTTCTTGGATTTGATGATTCTTATGGTCCCTTCCAACTTGAGATATTCTATGATTCTATGACAGTTTTTCCACTACTGTGAAAGTAATTCATACACAAAATATTCACAAAATGAAAGAATATGTTGTTTGGATTTTAGAAGTGCCCATTCTAGATTTTTGCATGTGATCAAAAACCTGAGAATTTAGCAGAGTAACTAAAAGAAATTAAAATCTACTGAACAGAATTAAGCTGTATTTGTGGTGGATGGGAGACATGACGCACCGTACAAAAAGGAGTTACTTCGTTACCTGGATATCCAGTTAGTAACTTCCATTTTCCACGTCGAATTGCTGCATGCATGGATATATTGAAAAGTGTATCATCCCACAGAAAAGAATGGCTCTGTGGTAAAGATGTCCTGTTGTCAATGCCAAGACCTTAATGAAATAGTAAACTAAGTTAGGTACATTGCATATGTGTGAATTAACTTTCAGAATTCCGTTGGAAAACAAACCAAAATCATCCACTCACTTTTATGTACTGGATAAAGCATTTATTATATATAAGTGCAAAGATTTGTGCTATGATTCACGGGATGTGTTTAACTCTTAGAACTTGAACTGCACCACAAAAAGTTACCAGTGGAAAATGTCACACCAGAGTCTGGATAACTAGACTAATTTCATATACAGAAACCATGTGTATCTCATATACCTATATTAAGAATGTGCATAATTGTAATTGCTGAATTTGCTTATACAAGTGCCTGTATCTTTTGCCAGATAGGAATACAGCATTGAAAGATCTCCTGAATCAGTGCACTACAGTTAATTCTCTTAGACCACTCCAGGGAGCAAGTCCCAGGTCCTGCCTTGTATCCACACACAGGGAGCTCTGACCCTCTGCGGACTGAGTAGGCTACATTCACACAGATCATAGCTGGCCAGTGAGGTACTTCTATGGCATGACACAGTGTGAAGTATGTCTTCATGCTGTCTTTGGTAGAGAGAGTTGCATATGGCATGGCCCCATACCTGGATACGGCAGAAAACTTTATAAAGAGTCAACTATGTGCAAATCCCCTCTCAAAAGAAAATGTGAAACTCCATATAGGAGGGACCTCAGAAAAAAAATGAACATGCATACATACACCAGGGATGATCAGGAGACCAGTGCTTAACCAAAACCAGAATGAAGTCAGACAGACCCTGCAGGACCATCCAAACTAACTTGCATATCAGCTTTCATAAACAAGATTTGAGCTTAAGAAATAAAATCTAAGAGTTTTACATTAATTGTATTGCTGACACCTGTTTACAAAAAGACTACCAGAAGGCAACTTTACAATCAGACCAGAAATAAGACATCAGGAGGTAGTAACCAACGTTGATATTCTAGCATCTTTCAAGAGATGAAGTTCAATGAGTTTGGGGAATTTGAAGGACTCAGCTGAGAGATTTTTGCCATAGAAACGAAGAGAGAATCCATGAGAAGTACAATGATCATCTGAGATCAACTACTGGAAGCAGAACTAGAGGTTTCTAAAATCAGTAAATTCTGTACATCATATGAGGCAAATATACATCTGATCGAAGAGAGCAACCGAAAGTTTGGAAAAGAAACGCTGGGACACTACTTCTATATTTTTTATGAAGGTCCTGCTAAATTTCTGTTTTATTACCGGGCTTCACACTTTGAATCAGTTTTTCTTCATTAAGCACTTTCTGTGCATACCCTTGTTCCCTGTTTACATCAGGCTTGTATAATGTTCCAAGATGAATATGTCTATAAAAGGAGGCTGCTTGTTTAGAACATGCATACACAGACTGGGGAGGACTCAACTTATCTTAGATCGTGAAGCACTGAAGCTGATGGTAAAAAAACCCCAAACTCCTACAAAAAAAGGAAAATTTCAGAAATACCTCCAGAAGAATCTCTTCTGGAAGATAAATCCACACACACCCATCTGATGTCCGTAGCAGATACTAAATAGATTAAAGATTATTATTGCTTACTTTCCAACATCATTATGTTATGTATTATTCTGTCATTCTGTTTGCTACTGGGAATACTCATCTTTGACATTTACTTTCTTAAAAAAGCATAATGAAAGACATTCAGTAGACAGAAAACACAACCATGTTTTTCAAACATTATGTCTCAAAATTACAACATTAAGGCTTGGTCTAAAGGAAAAATTACAAGAGTCTGCATTTCTGATTTTAAGGTATAGCATGGAGAATATGCTTCTGGTTGCTGAGCTATGGTATGTGAACCCATATTATTACACAAGATATATTATTTAAAATACTTCAAATAAACAGTACAAAAGATTATATTTTTAGATACACTTTGCAAAATACTTAAAACAAGATACAAGGAGATAAAATTATTTTAAAAACCACTTCTTTGGTCCAGGTAACAAAACCAAACTCCTAAACTAAGAAATGCTTTTACCAGAGCTTGTAGTTGTTAAAGTTGTTTGGTGGAATATTGTCTTACAGCAAAGTTTCTTGAAGAGAAAAAGATAAATTCCCGTATGTTGAGCTATTATAAACAGAGCTCTATCAGTCATGTTAACTCGCCTTTGCAAGCACTTGTCTTGTGCCAAAGAAATGTACTGCCTGTTATTCAGGCAAGTGCATTGCTTCCCAATCAGTACAGGTGAACCTTTATCAGACATACCAGCTATAGAAAACAGACTGATGCTTGTCTGAGTGCTCTCTACATAGGATATTTATAGGTCTGCCAGTTCATTACATTATATAAGCACCAAATACAGAACTAAGAGAAATAGAACTATTGCTTGAGTTCTCTTCTGCCCACCACCTGACTCTCACCTTAAGCCAGGATATTCCTCCTCCTGTGTTTGCCTGACTTTCTCCTCTTCAGCCCAGCTGTGAAGATTCTACCTCTGTCTTCATTCTTCAGCTTCTGATAGTGCAGGTGAAATGCAAAATGCCTGTCAGTCTTCTCCCCCACCATATGAATTTTACAGGATTCTGTTTTCCAATTTGTCAGTCACACTATTTTTGTTTCATTTGCAAGGTAAAATGATCATTCTCATAGCATCTAAGCAGTTTTTCTCAGCATCTCTTCTAGATTGTTGGGGGCAGGGGTGTGTGTGTGTGCGTGTGTTCTTTTTTTCCAGCATGGTTGACTAGGCAGTAAGAACGGCTCTATGGACTAATTCAGCAGTCAGAGGACAGATGCCTTTTATGGATCTGTCTAATCAAGTCTGCCTTCACATGGTCGCATATTCTCCTTATACACTTTTACCAAAAAAATGTGATCCTTTTGTTTGTGCTAGACTTTTTATTTTTCTGCCATTTGATAACTAGTGTATCAGTGGCTAACGAAATATTAAAGCTTTGGTTCTACCTTAAGACAAAAAATCCCATAGCCATTGCCACAAATTTTCTTATTTTCAAACAGAAGCTATAGTTTCCTGAAGCTCAGCTTCGGAGCCTCGCCAGCTGCCAGATTTCAAGTACTCTCTTGGGAAATGATACAACTTTCATTAGTTAAGAAAGCTGTGAAATTTCATTGCTATATTTATTTTTAAACATTTAATGCTAGAACAAATTGATCTAAATATTTTAGTGTTTTGTTTGGAGTTGCAGGTCACCAAAACGTATTCAAATAGCTTTTATCTCTCTATAGAGAAAACAAGTCCTTCAGAAAATGTTGCCCTTGGTAAGTGACTAGGAGTACATATCATGTTTCAAAACCATCCTTAGTCTTAACAGTCTGAAAACCAGTTTCAGGATCAGATTTTCAAAGGAATTGAGGTGGCCAGCTCCTGCTACCCACAAAAGCAACAGATGATCGAAATGCTTTAAATGCCTGACCTTTCACCACCTTATGAAAACTTCAGCTTAATCCTTTTATCTCCATTATCATACATTGTCTCTATAAACAGATATATATTCCAAATTAGGATGCAAAAGCCTAAATATTTTTCAGTAGCTAATTCGTGTCTTAAAGAGACCTGATTTTTCAGAAGGCCAATGTAATAAATTCTGAAAATCTATGCAAAATGCTCAGAAAGCATCAGTCAAAATGTTAGCTGCATTTGCAAAAACAATTGCTATGTTGATAATCTAAACATTCCACAGCATACTCTTCATGCAGAACATTGAAAAATTTACTGCTGGCCAAGTATCACAGAATCACAGAATCACAGAATGGTAGGGGTTGGAAGGGACCTCTGTGGGTCATCTTGTCCAA